CATTAAATCAAATATATTCCATAAGAAAATAATGAAATCGTAAAACGTGTCAAATACATTTGCGAATAGAAAATAATATAAAAGTAGTAAATAAACGTCACGAGATTTAATCAAAAAAGGAGGCGAGGGGGGAAAAAAACCCTAAAAATAGAAAAAGACAATGAAAGAAATGCATTCACGCATAATACATATAATCGAACAAATACGACAACGACGACGACGACGACGCGTATAGTTCTCCTTTCACATAATAGAAATAAGGAGAAAGAAAGGAAGAACGAAAAAAAAAAAAAAAGAAAAAAAAAGGACATGAAAATAAAGAAAGAGAGTGAAAGAGAGATAGAAAATATCAGCAGGTGGTTGAGTGCTACCAGAGAAACCTTTACGTCGTTTCGCGTCGTTTCGAACTTTCCATTATCCTAAACACCGACCTCCGTCATTCTGATTGACTAACAGTGTCGTGTATAAGCTTTCCCTGATACTTTCTCTTTCTATATCGTCTCTTGCAAACTTTTAACGAACATTTTCTTAACGAAATATAATGGTTCGTATCTAAAAACGACGTTGATCGTTCATTATGATAGCTGGATTAACGATAAATTATAATAGAATTAAACTTTTCATATCTTATATAAATACTACGTAGTATCTAATTGGAAAATTGGAAGAAATCATTTCGTTGATTTAATATCTTTCATAAAATTTACATTATTTTTTCTTTTTTTTTTTCTTTTTTTTTATTTTTTCATTTTCATTTCTGATCTATTTCATTCTATTTGACGTGTAACGAATCACGATAGTAGGGATATTAGAGAGGGGTAGCGGGGGGAAGGGGGAAATCTTCCGATATAATTCATAATTTTCGAATTAATAAGAATGACGTCAATTGATTGATTAATTATATTTCATCTTATCGAAATATACGTAGAGTAAATGTCACGTATAATGTATATCTCGTATTGTATATAAGCGTATGTATCTATGTAAAGAGAATATTAAAGAGAGGGAAAGAGACAGAGAGACAGAGACAGAGAGAGAGAGAGAGAGAGAGAGAAAAGGATACCCGTACAGGGTGGTAATAAATTAGCCATCCTTTTTTTATTGCGTCGTTTACCACGCCTACGATCATTTTTAGCGAACAACGCCAATCATCGTCTTCTCTCGCTCGCATCCAGACGCCAATTGAAAGCAGCACAGCGACGTGCTGCGCCGTTAATGATTTTAATTCCAACTACTCTCTCTCTCTTTCTCTCTCTTTCTCTCTCTTTCTCTAGCTATCTATCTATCTATCTATCTATCTATCTATCTATCTATCTATCTATCTCCGTTTCACTTCTCTTAAGTCGTGAAAAATCATAAATTTTTTTAAGCGAAATTAATAAATCAATAAGAGATTTCAAGTTTTCGATTATTTTCATCAAACTCGTATCCTCTAACTTGTCTTATCTTGTAATTTAATTAAGAAAATATTTTTTGTTTTTTTTTCTTTTTTTTTACATATTCTACGATGTAAATAATTCTCTTTTATTTTCTATATAAAAATTCTTTTTAGCTTATATGTAAATTTTTTTTTTTACACTTTCTATGTATACATGTATATATATATACATATTTTTTTTTTCTTTCAATAAAAATGTTATACTCAATAATTTTTGTAATTTCTATACAGATATGTTTAATAAATTTATAATACATATGAAATTTTGGTTTTTTTCTTTTTATTTATCAATTTTTATTATATATATATATATATATATATATATATATATATATATATATATGAAGAAAAGAAAAAAACACGCGGAAACAAAGATGTTTCATTTGTCGTTCGTGGTTTTTTACATCGAATTATCCCATCGTAATCGAAATCGATCCATTACTTCTTACGGTCAGCTCGTTTACGAAGTCTATTAAACGTGGATTCAACGGGAACGACTGGTAGACATGACGAAGGGAAGGAAAAAAAAAAGAAACGAGAAAAGTTTGAAGAGATGAACAAAGTGAGAAAGAGAGAAAAAAAAGAAAAGAAAAGAGAGTAAGAGAAAAAGAAATAATTCGTCACGTAAAACAGCGAGCTGGACGGAATGTTATTATGTAGTCCTTAATTATGACTCAGTACGTGACTGCAGAGTTCTGTTAATTAAATCGATTTTTTTTTTCTTTTCTTTCCTTGCAAAAGGTCCGTCAATGAGTATGATTCTTTAACGTCGAAGAACAATACTTTTCGAGAGTTTATCATAAAATTAGCACGATCAGTTTTTCTCGAAAAAGAAAAAAAGGAAAAGAAAATAAATGAAGAAATAAATAAATAAATAAATAAATAAATAATTACAAGATTGATAAAGGTTTTATTTCTTTTAAATTAAATTTTCTCTTTTCCTTTTAAATAAATTTAATTAAATAAAATATTTGCGCAATTAAGATTCACCAAAAAAAAAAAAACAAAAAAAGAAAAAAAAACAAAAAAAAACGACTAAATCAGGAAGAAATAGAAACGAAATTTAACGTAGATATGAAAGCAGGAAAGAAGAACAGAAATATATTTAGAAATGGAGATAAACGCGTCGCGATTTTTCACGATTAAACGTGAAACAAAACTATAAATTCATAAAGAATATGACCATTCATGTGAGTTTTCAATGAAAGTCATTTTTAATTAAGCGATTCGCAACATTCACGTCAGATTTGCTGAGTCCAATTATAACGACGAGAATTATCGTAATTTCGCCGTGAACGTTATTACGGAGAGAACCTTGAATTCGCGACTAATAGAGGTAAAAACGAGAGAAAGCAAGCTGTCCTCCCGTTTGATTCTTTTATTTCAAGTACGAATTATGAATAATAGTGGGAAAATTTGAATAATCGAAAATTAATAAGCCGATTGTGGAAACTGATAAACAATTAACTGACTAATATTTCATCGATTTTACCGATATTTTTGATAAACAATTCGAGTTTAACATTTTGAAAATATTTATAGCTCAATAATCACATATATGCATGTATATATATATATATATATATATATATATATATATATATATATATGTTATAATTTATCAAATTTTTAAGAATATAATAAGTATCAACGAGATCATATTTTTTCTTTAAACGTTGTCGTAAAATATCAAAGAATTATTATATAAGTTACATCACTCGTCAGAAAAATTATGAAGACGGCAAGTAGGATGCGCTTACACCGTTCAAGATTGTTTTACAAAGTGACGTTTTTT